TTCTGATGATTCAGGAGGACTTACAATATATATTTACAAATATCACTAAACTAAAATTATCTAATAAAAAAACGGTTCTACATTTAATAAAATAATTTTTTTTAAATTTATTATTATGAAGTGCAGAGGATAAACATATATAAATAACCAAAAAATTCCTAATGCTATAAACCAAATCTTCAAAAAATATAATATAAAAGTTAAGCACTTTACACTTTAGCCACGAATAGCACAAAAACCAAACACAAAGTACAAAGCTGTTTAAATATGTTTCAGCATAAAACTCTATCGATGCCTATTCTAAAAAATGCATAGCATACTATTGGGAGCAACGACAGCAGCTTGAGGACTGACCAAAACCGTTGCATACTTTTGCCGGCGGCGGCGCCTAATGAAGCCACGAACGCACGTACACACATACAATTGCCGCAGCTGCGGGCGACGACAACGAAAACAAACCAATTAGATACAGGTCGATAATTCGATTTCGAAATAAAATAACACGTTACTATCAAAAGTAGAGCAGGACTTCAAGGTCCTGTGTACGTGGCAGGAGCAGGTGTTTAAGTGTTTGCCCAGCACGTGGCAGCAAATGCTGTGTGAACTTTCAGTTCGGCCAACAACTGCAGCCGATTGCCAAACGGGCTTCAAGTCAATACTTTCTGAATGACTAATTGAGCGCCAAGTGTCCAAATGGACATTGCGTGAGCAAAAAAAACAACAACAAGCAAAGAAAATAAAATGAAATTGTAAAAGAATTGGAAAACCAATTGACACAGTTTTTGCTCTTAGCTGTCTTCAGAACTGCGTGTTTATGACCAAATTAAGGAATTAAATGTAGAAGCCTTCCAAGGCAAAGTCAATTTTCTGGACATGTGACCCAAATTAAAAACGACTCCCATGGGGCAAGGCAGGGATGGGCCGAGGCGCCATCGAAATGTCAATGCCAAATGGCCAGCAATTAGCGTGGCTAATTAACCGTTAATAGCACTTAAATCTACACTGTAATTGCTTTTGTCGATCAATGCATTCGTATAATATGCAAATGCCACGCGCGAACCCGATTCGCTTGCAGTTGGTGCATTGAACTTGCCACAAGCCGAACGCTGGTCAAGTTTACAATGTAAAGGCCACAAAAACAGTTAGCACACACATACACTACACACACGTAAGCACAGCGTACACAAAGTTTAATCACTTGATATTTTTCCTCAATTTTCCGTTTGGTTTTTCTTTGTTTTTTGTTTTTTTTCGGGCTCGATTTGCTCGGGGCGCGCTTTAGTTGTCGACTGCGGCATATTCAGCGCTTTGTAGGTGTTTTTATCTAATTTCTAGCGCACGCACACATAGACACACCATTGAGTGTCTGTGTGTGTGTGTGTGTTGTTGTTGTTGCTGTTGTTGTTATCCCTTTTTGGTATTGAATATTGGTAATGGCTGCGGGCGTTTGCATGCAAACGCCAAAATTGGTAACACAATGGATGAGCTAGACGAATGCTAGGCGCTCAGTCTGCGTGTGTGTGTGTGTGTGTGTGCCTTATAGTATAGTGTAGTAGTACACTGTGTAATGCGTGTCTACTTTTGTGCGCCTTGTGCAGCGTTTTATCGGCCAGCCCAAAAGTGTGCCACACACAATTTGAAAAGCCATTTTTATTTAAAGGCGATGTCGAGCGAGCAACAACCAAACAACTTTAATTGGATGATTTATTTTTTTTTTTGGGGTCACCTGAATAATTATTATTGGAATGTGAAAGGTCAGCCGAGATTTCAAATTCATTCGATTTATTTACTATTATTACTGAAAAACAGGAAATGCCAGAAACAAAGAAATTTCAATTGGATCAAGAAGCTAAATAAATGGCTAAACAAATATTTATAGGGATATATATAGTTATCTGTCTATATAAGAAGATATTCATTTATGTATAAATATCAATAAAAATATCTATATTTATTTATTCAGTTAGCATTTCGAACTGATTTCAGTCACATTCACGCACGTTTATTTCAACTAATATTCGTACAATTTGCAGTTAGGGCTTTACAACTAGAGCTCTTAAAATGCTAGGGATTTGTATTGAGAACGCCAGCGGCGGGTGGGGCAGTCTGAGCAGAACGGCATATATGTTAATATATATGTATGTATATAGGGCGAGAGAGATGTACAATACAAAAAGAAACCACTTATATTTATTTGTTGCTTAATTCGTCCGCAGAGACGTGTATAGGATTGGATAATTCGATGTGGTCCGAGGAAACGTCTGTAAGAAGTAGAACCAAAATATATAAATATATATACATATATGTAGATAGACAAGTGATTATAGTAGAGGTAGAGGCAGATGATATACTATGTATAAAGAGACGCACAGTTGGATTCACGATAACTACATGATAAATAAATATATGGATAATGGAAAGATGGATAAATGAATGGATGGGCAAGACAACTGTATAAACAGTTGGATAAGGACGTAAATATGAATAAATGACTGGAAAGACAGAGACAAATGCTGAGATATATAAAGCAAAAGCTATGGGAACTATGAATAACTATATAACAGATAAAGAAATGGAAAATTATATATGTATATAAAAATAGAGAGAAAGAGAGAGAAAGAGAGAGAGAGAGAGAGAGAGCGAGAGAGATAGTCAGATGTATAACTTGCTAAGTAAATAATTAAAAGATCAATAGAGATAGATCTATAAAGACATATTCATATTCAAACATCTATATATCCCATAATTATCCTACGGCTACCTACCCAGATGTTGCCTTTCCAAATCTATAATACTGTTGACAATGCTGTTTAGAAAGTCCTGGGTGATCGTTTCCGTAATGTTGACCGGATCGTAGTAGAGGAAGCTGCGCTTTGTTCGCCTCAGGGCCTCGCGCTTGCTCCGGAAGAGCGCCAGGCTGATGTGCGACTGCTGCAGCAGCAGTTTATCCGCACCGAACTCCAGGCACTTGCCGTCCACGCAGTAGCGCCTGCCCACCTGGGAGCAGCGTGTGCCGATGGGAAAGTGGCCGTGGATGCCGTTGACCAGATAATAGCGATACTTGATGTGCTCATCCTGGCAGCCCACGCGACAGCTGCGATCCGGTTCGGTGATGCTGGCCGAGATCTGGGAGCCGTGGCCGGATAGGCCGCGCACCTTCAGCTTGTAGCGGGCGCACGTTTGCTCCGCATATTCCGCTGGGGTTTGCAGTCGTTCGCATGGCTTCACCTTGTGCGTGCATAACTGTATATTGCGCTGGCCCGTGCGCCGTGACCTAACTGCCTGCACGCCCATTGACTCTGTCATGCAATTGGAGTGACAGCCGGACTCCACCTGCCACTCCGACGCCAAGTCCGATTCGACAACGAGCGAGGCAGAGGGGGGAGGCGGCGCCGCCTTGCCAAATGGATCATGCACATGGTAGTTGTATTTGTAGTCATTCGAGTAGGACGAAGAGGAGGAGGAGGAGTACGGTGAGGATGAGACCTTGTGCTTGTACGGCTTTGGCTGTGGCACTAAATGATTGTCCTGTCCGTGGAAACTGCGCACAGCTACCTCTGCAGTGGATAGAGAAACGTTAGAGCAGCTAGAGAACAGAGCTAAGAGAATTCTCTGCTCCTGCTCACCATTTTCATAGCGATTCCTGTAGGGCTCCACGCGCTCTGCATTCCGTTTGTAGCTAATGTTATTCGTATAGCTCGACTGCTGTTTGCTCTCCAGCTCCGTGGAGTCGCGCTGTGGGCGTGGCGCCCGATATGCACAGAACGTGTTATCCATTTTGAAGAAATTGTCCGTGGCATTGCTGCACGAGAACTTCTCACAGCGTCCGGCAATGCAGTAGGCAATGTGCTCCGGGCCGTGATCCTGAGCACGGCATGTCGTCCCGTCCGGAAAGGTCCAGCGACGCGACTTGGTGCCGTTGCTCTTGGTGCGGCAGAAAATCTTACAGGAATCCTCTGCAAGCCGTGGAAAAAAGAGTTTAGATATTGATTTGGATATAGATTCTGGTCACACCCACCGATGGAGCCAACCAGCTGCAGCCCCTCGCCCGTCAGCTCGCTGTCGGACTTGCGCGCCTTGTTGCACACATTGGTGGCAAAGTCGCCGATGGTGTGCACCGGCACCACATAGCACTGCTTGGCTATGCACGCCTCGAACTTGCGATCCCAGCCCTCGCAGCGCTTGGGGTAGCTCAGGCAGCTGCGATTGTAGGTGCGCAGGCCGGTGCTGCCCTCGCGCAAACGATTCGATGGACCGTACAGGCAGCTGGAGTCACAGGCACTCGCCTCGCCCCAATCGCTCCAGGTGCTCAGGACGCCGGGCAGCTCGTTGCCACTGGCCTTGTACGGCTGCTGCAGCTGCTCCATTCGGCTCGAGGACTCGGCATAGATGGCGCTGTGCTTCTCGTAGCTGGGCTTCACCAAGCCGCCGCCGCTGAGCTGCTTCATGGAGCCGATGGGGTACTTGTTGGGGCGCGGCTCACAGGAGCCACCGCGACACCACTGTCAAAGGCGCTTGAGGATTAGCAGGGATTGAACCAAGTTAAAGCTGATTTCTTTTGCTTACCATGCCGGGTCCACACTCGGTGCCCTCCAGTGCTGGATGCGAGGTCCAGGTCAGTCTCTCCCGCTGGCAGTGCAGATCGCGACAAATCTCCGACTTGCTCTGGCTGCTCGCATGCACCGAGTTGCGCCCGAATTTGAGCATGCACTGCTGATTGGCATCGAAGCGCTCCCCGGGCAACTTGCCCTTCGCCGAGTGATCCCACTTGCCAATGAAGTGCCCTCTATCGAACAGGCATTCCGCCTGCTTGAGACTAAAGCAAGGATGGAGTCAAAGGAAAAAGAGACTAAGTGAGCTATGCTCGAGCTTGACTTACGCTAGGAAATCCTCCAGATAGCCGCGGGAGCACTTCGACCAGGTTATCTTGCCGCTGCCCAAAGTGGGCGACATGATGTGCAGGCTGGGATCGCAATTGTTCTCCTTGGAATCGTGACGCATGCCCAAGCTGAAGAGATATATATTTGAAAAATTCAACGGAACGTTGGGAATGGAACACAAATTTAAATAAAGGAAATGGGAAGCAGTTGCAAAGAAGATGAAAGTAGAGAAAGAAGGAGAGATCGGTTAAAATAGTTTGGTATAGCTCAATAGATGAATGTTTACATCCTCCAGTTCACTCACTTGTGTCCGATCTCATGGGCGACCACAAAGACGCTCTCGAAGTGCTTGCCCTCGTTGATGGTGCAGGAGGAGGTGGGCGTGCACATGCCGGCCACGGGCGCCAGGCCCACCACCTGGCTGGTCACCTTGCCATTCTTGCCGGTGACATGGAGATCCAGGCCGGTGAGAATGACAGCATGATCGTAGTGCAGAATGTCGGCATCCAGGGGCGGATTCAGATTCCGCTGCCAGAGGCAAAAGTTGCTCAGATAGTTGTCAATGTCGCTGGAACGGTACAGACCCGGCGTATCCTTGGGCAGGATCTCCAGGCGCTTGAGCACAAAGTTGATGCGCCGGCCCAGCGTGTCATGGTGATAGAGCAGCTGGACGCCATTGATCATGGCGAGCACGAAGCGCATCAGCTCGTTCTCCGTGTTCGTGGGATAGTTCTTGCCCATGTGCCTGTACAGGTCGCTGTCCACAAAGATCGCCGTCTCGATGTACAGCTCGTCGGGCACGTAGGGGCGACGCGACGGCTCATCGATGTGCCGGCGTAGGCGAGGCGTGCTGGAAGAGTTGCTGGCAATGCCAGTGCCATAATGATGATGATGATGATGAAGCTGCTGCTGCTGCTGCTGCTGATGATGATGATGATGTTGTTGGCGATGATGATGATGACGCGGCTGATAGCGCAGTCGCAGCTGTGATTGCAATTTGCGACGCAGCTGCTGGCGTTGCTGCGGCTGTGTTGGCTGTTGCGGTTCGTTGAATTCATCTGCATCGGGCTCGAACTGCAGCTGACTGTCTAACGGTATGGCCCGACTCTCGGCGCCGCCGTTGTCGCTCTTATCTAAGCGCGCCTGGTAGAGCACATGGGCTGACGCTCCAAATCGCGCCGGCAGCGGTTGGATGACAAAATTGCTGGCATTCTGCTGAAAGACGCCACGCTGCAAGTTGTTGAAAGGTTAGATAAGACTGGGTAACAGCTGGCAGAAACAGTGGAAATGAAACGACAGCAGAGCGGTAAATTCGACATGGGAATAATGGTGTTGGCATTGTGAATTATGGATTTTGTAACATTCAAGCATGGCAAATCAAATTTGGGTGTTCCAGTTCCATTTGTTCATGGCCTTGAAATTTATGAATGATTAATTTCTATTGTCTAATGCTAATTTGTGAATTTTTCACATTGCGTGTGCATTTTATATTTAAGGTGTTCCATTACCAACGTTCCACTAAATAAACAAGTAAGAAAGCTCTAGTCGAGACTGCTCGACTACGAGATCCCCTGAACCCTACAA